TCCGTTCCGTTAATTATTCGGTCCCTTGATTAATGAGGATTAATCGAGTATTTATAGCCTTGGGAAGCGTGCAACTCTCTAGGTTTAAGGTAAACCTAGGGCCGATCGGGCTTCTAGACTGAAATGGGCCTTGATGGCCGGTTGTCCCATTTGGCATGGGTGGACACGTGGCGTGTCTTAAGTGGTCCGTGGAGGACGCGTGGCGGAACCTGGTTGGTCCACTTGTCAAACGGCGCTTGGTGGATAAAAATCCCCTAATCACTAATAATGCTGCATCAAAAACAAATGCAAATACAGCAACCAACCTTCAAATATGTTCCTCTGGTTCAGCACGTGCTGAACATTTGTCCACAACCTATTGTGCAAATGCAGGTTCTTCTTGGAACCAGCAAGAAGCGAGAGGTTTGATGATTTCAGACATACACAAAGCGGATTCACATTCTAGTGGCAGCAATAATGCTCACGGTCTTTCATCAACATACCTATCATTTTCTGGTGCAAATGAAGACAGAAACAACTATGGTCAGGGAGGAATGAAGGTGAATGGGGCTGTTTCTGTTAAGTAGGATCCACTTTATGCTTGAAGGGACGGCTGCCTCCTTATTGTCTGGTACTTACTTTATACTAAAACTAATGTTTTCCATTTCATAGTCCTTCAAATATTTGTCTGACTGACTTTACATAACAACTTTTCCTGGGAAACTAAATTTTGATTGGTTTTGACATGTGAATAGTCGCAGTTTCAATTTGTTGGCTTGTTTATTTATAGGGAACAATTGTTTCTGCTTCTGAGCTCGGTAGTTGTGGGCACTTGAGGATGAAACCCTTGGAACAGTTATGTTTTGTTTGACTTGATATCTGTCTCAATGCAGGTAATGCAAGCATAATTGGGCCGATTCAATCACGGAGAACAGTCTAGTAACCCTTCAAGTATGTGGAGTCCCAGGCAACTCATTCTTGGCTTTGGTTTATGTGGTTTACCCGGGTCGGGATGGAGGAGGAAATACAGGGTAGTAGGACTATGTAGAATTATAAAGGATTGGCTTTCAAATTATGCGTGGATCTCTTGTTTAAACTATGAAGGATTCGATGTGGATAATGCCTCTCTTGTAGGCTTTCTGGATGTGTTACTTTGTTGGAGTTAGTATAGTACTGTGTTTATAGTTAAATGGAGCATGGACAAGGAAGATAATCACGGTCTAGGAGGTGTTTTAAAAAGTTTTTAGTGATCATATTCATGTTAGTGATCCTCCCTATTTCTTGGTCATTTATTTATGAATTTTAGTGGTGTATATTTCGACTGACTTGGTCCATATTTCACTGAAACTCAACAAAGGAGGAATTTCACAACGCAAAATGTACAGAATTATTGAAAGGTAAAGTTGTAAAATCAAAGTAATTTCTTAAGATAGACATTGAGATTTCCGTTTGTTGGATTTCTAAGGATTTGCTCTTTTCATGTATCTCAACTTGTATGATTTTATTGGTCAATAAAATTTAGTAGTTTCAGTAATTTTGGTAGGCACAAACCAAATAAAGCATAAACTTAGATATTTATTAAAGCGTAGTTGATTCAAATTAACTTGTAAAAGTTTATCTAACTTCATTCGTTGCTCTTATTGAGGGGTTGTGTTTTTTTTTTTTTTTTTTTTTTTTTTTTTTTTTTTTTTTTTTTGTGTGAGACATTATTGAGGTGTTTCAATTTACTTGTTTTATACGAAGTTTTTTTTGGATATATTGAAATTTCTCTTCTACACATTCTTTGAATTGTGTCCTATGCCAATTCACATGTGATACAAAATCTTAGGTTCCACAACACTCTAAGAGGTTACTTGGGTCATTGGGTGGTTAAAATTGTTCACTCTGCTTTTAAATAATAATTTTAGGATTTTTAGCTGTTTATATACACAACTCCCTTGATTGACTCAAGGTTGCCATGTGTATTTATGTGACTAACTAGTGACCGTGTATACAACATTATGCAACCTCGAGATGTATTTCTGATTTCTCTATCATATTAAAAGTTTTTGACACCAAAAGCGTGAATATAATGTTTGAAAACTTATAAAATACGGAGTAGAGATTTATCGCTGAAATAAATACTCGTGACCTTTTCAGAGCCCCAACGATTTAGCGATTTGTTGCTCAAAGTAATAAATTACTACGTAAAAAAGATAAGAAATCTTGTTAGGGCTCATGCATTTTTCCCCCCTTTGGAGCTTTATAACGTGTAAGCTGCGCCGCAGCAGTGCTGCAACTTCTCCCTCTCTCTTTCTCTCAATATCCTCCATTGAAGCTTACTCTGATTCTCTGAATTCTCCATTGAAGCGACTTGCGGCTTTCTCTCCTCCATTGTAGCGGCTTCTGAGGTAAGATGTTTATCATAATTATCGAATATCAATTTCACAAATCTAGGGTTTAGTTCCAAACTTAATTACCGGAAATCCCAATGATGATAATATTTAGTAATCTGAACAAATTAAAAAGGGTTGGGCAAATGGTATTTGGTAGTGCATTGAAGAAATCCAGATGAAGCTCCCATTTTCATTTCTGCTAATGGTTTTTGAGGTACTCTGTTTTTCTTGCATTGCCTTCTTCCATCCAATCTCATGTGGAAAATAGGCATTTCTGAGGGATTTTTATTTTTATTTTTTAAAAAATATTTATGCCAGTAATCTATCAAATTCATTTACTCTGAAACTATTTACCTTTTTTTTGTTTTTTTTGAAATTATTATGCAGGTTAATTATGAAGAGTGCAGAATCAAAATGCATTTGCCAATGAATGTTGCAGAGGGAGCTTGTGATGTTTCATAATTGTAAATAATATTGTAATTTGTAATCTTAGCGTTGATTCATTTAGACAATTGTATATTTGTATTAATGATTTGTTACATATGAATATACTCAAGCTTACAATATACAATAATTTTACAACAACATTGTACCAATTACAAAGTTACTTAGTATTATTCATTTATTCTACATATGTTTCCCCTTGCACCCGATTTTCGCCTTTGGATTCATTGACTGCAGCAATAGCTCCAACTAAAATGCAACCTGTTCTTTAAGTTGTTCCTGTGGACATAATACAAGCACCCAGCTGTCAAAAAAAATTCTGTACACTATCTGTCGGGTTGAATGAGAAATCATATGTACAACTTCTGACAATTAAAATTTCCTAACTCCATGTTTTTGTAACACCATTGGTAGTGATTGATGAATGATAATGGCAATGGATGAAGAAAGTTCGCAATTGTCGACTAATTCGGAAACTTGGTGGCTCCTTTACATATAACTTAAGAATTATCTTACTACTTGACATATTAATTCCCAACTCATATTATGATCTTGGATTAGAAATTGCCCTGTATTGGGTATTATAAGATCAACTATGGAACCAGATTAGTGTGTGTTGCCAGACATCATATCAAGCATGAGTAAATAGTATTCTCTAGTTTGAAGGCTCCAAGCAGCAAACATGTTACAATCTTCCTCAAGAAGCTGACAAGACCCAAAACTTCTACAAAGCCTTAATGAACCTACATCATCAAACTTCATCAAGTATATTTATCTCATTATATATTTATATGGCACTGGAAAGACCATACAACCGAAACCAGCAAACTACAACCTCAATAACAATGGATACTTGGCTCACGAGGATTTTAAACATGATCATATATAATAAGATGTTATGACATGAGAAAAGCTTGCACCCACTTTTGAAGGATGACTGACTTCACTTACATTAACAATACAATTAAAATGATGGTCAAATATTGGCTGCTTTCTTGCAAAGTAAAATTACTAACCTCAGTCACGAAGAAAGCATGAAACCCATAGGGAACTCTTGAAGGTAATTCAACAACTGCAACAGGATCAGCTGACATTGTTTTTGCATCAATTACATTCACAAACGATTTCCTGCAAATCAAACGTATAAACCATTAATTGTCACTAAACCCTTGTGACCATACCAGATCCATTCGATTAGGTATTATCGAAAGAGTAGTCGGGAACTCTTGCTCCCAGTGAACCATTTGTAGCAAGTGTTCAGGTCTAATAATAAAAAGAAGAGTGATGTAACATAAGATAGCACATATCATACTGGTCAGACAAGAACCTCACTAAAAATCAGACAATATAGGAAAGACCACAAAGAATCTTCCTTTTTTTCTGACAATAATTGGGTTACAAATTTCAAAGAACAAAATGCAGGTTTAAAAAATTACCCAGTGTTTTCGTCATGCACAAAGAAGATAAGATATCCATCATCCTCTTCACTGGTGGTACCTGGTTCACGAGGAACAAAGATGGCCTCTGATCCAAATCTTCCAGGACCAAGGTCAAAGATACCTTGCACAGTTCCTCCAACTTCAAGCTTTGTTTTGCTGGAATCTGGTTCAGCATGCAAGTCAAATTTGACTATTCCTTGTACTTTCGCAATGCTGCCCAATATGGTACCATACACATATCTCTGTTTCCTGTGCTTGGTACAAGAATAACATAAGTATAAATGATGATGCACTAATTATCTCCCCCAGCCTGGCCACCCCCACCAGTTAGCCAATATGCAACATATAATGAATTCCACCCAACTAACAGAGGAGATTATAAAAAAATTTACTTATGGAACTGTGAGATCCAAGTACCTGCCAGTAGTACTCATTAACTCTAGGGAAATCCACGGCAGGTGCTGATAGTTCTTTTTGAGACGCAAGACCAGTTTTCATATTAAATCTCATCTCGTACCTGGTATCAAGAGTTTTTATCAAAAAAAGATGATTGAAAAGATATTAGACTCTGTCCAACCATTGAAGTTTTCTTACAGCTGATTTGAAAAATCTTCAACCCGATTTTCAGCAGCTCCACTGACCATCTCCAAATCTGGATTCTCAATGCGACAAGTGATTAAAACAACCTCATCTCCTTCTTCCCACGCATTGGCTGTCAACATAAGCAATCATGATTAAATGCACTGAAATATGCATTTACTTTTTATATTTTTATTTTATACATATGTATATAGATTTTAAGATAAAAGTTAACATCTGCTGAAGCAGTAAATGATCATGCAATAGTCAAATCAACATCACAAAATCGACAAATGTTCTCTATATATATGATAAAAATGCTTAGAATCTATGACTAATGAAAAATGGAAAAAGGTAGCTAGGACACACCATTATGGAATATGAAACAATTTGGCAGCTCAAACCATTTGATTAAGCTCTCATTCTTAGCATATCGTGGTAGTACACCAAAGCGAGCCTTTAATGTTGGGTCAAAAGTGAAAATTAGTTTTTTTTCCTTCACCATATCCTGGAAATTCAAGAATATAAGATCAGCATATTAAAAACAGAAGCACTAGTGGGGGAAGGGGGACAAAAAGGAGAATTAAATGGAAAACAATATGGCAGCATCAAGTGTCAAAATCCTAAAAAGATTTATGCCATCAACTGTAGTACCACAAACAGATAAGCCCTGTTTCCAACAGAATCTAAAATATACCCTGCTAACAAGCATGTTTGAACACCCCCCTCCCCAACCTCTATCAATAATGCTGCATGAAAGATAATTTTGAAGAAGTGAACAAAAAGCCGACCCCAAATCATTTTGGGACTAAGGCTTTGTTGTTGTTGTTGTTGAACAAAAAGCTGGTATTTTCTTTTGGTGTTAAAGTTACCATACCTTAGGTCTAAAGTGTAAAGGAAGATCCATGATAATAGCATAGTTCTCAGTGATCGCAAAATCATGCATCATGATAGGCGCAGGGATAGTTATTGGTACAGGGTCATGCATGTATCCATCCTTTGAAATTACTCTGTATGTGATATATGGTGGTTCATGAGAGTAGCCAAAAGTAAACATCTCCCCTACACCAAGAGTTTGAATTTGATCAGTGAGACTACAAAAAATAAATTTCAGATTAATGTGTGCTTTTATGAAAGAGAGAGAGAGAGAGAGTTAATAAATCTCACCTGTGGAAGGATCAACCTTTGGATGAGCTGTAATGGAGTGGGTCAACCTTTTATCATAGTCAAGCATTCCAAGGGTTTGAAGATCCCCGTCTTCCAAAACACGAATAACATCTGGATAAAACAGTAAAGTAGAGCACTTAGTGTCACATACAACTGGTACTAGCAAGAGCTATCACAAGCATCTGGATATAAGTCCACCATGTCCTTTTTTTGGGCATATGACATTCAAAGTCAACATCAAGTTAAACAAGAAACACTCAATTTGGTACCTCAAAATGAAAATAAATAACAGAATATCACAACTCACATGGCTTATCTGCCTCTGAAAGTGCCAGAAGCTTCCCATGGTGATATATAAGAGCGGTATTAGCTGTATAAAGATGGAAAATTCACATATATGAGTAATATGATCCAAATTTAATCAAAATGACAAGTAAACATAAAGTGATAAAACCATAGATAGAGTAAAATTTCCTTCAAACCAATGAAGCATTGATTTAGCTAGCAAAAGCACAGTGAACAAGATACTT